TCAAAGGCGAAGTCCCTGGAAGCCCGCGACCGAAGAACACGTTAACGTCGGCATGAGACTTAGGTTGGGCTGGGTTTCGTTCTCGCGAGAAATTCCGTCAAGTTCAATGTTTTCAATGATTGACGGCATTTGGGTATGTGGAAGAATTTGTCCACTGGGGGAGGCTATCGGCTGAATTGCGTGGTCCGTGTGGATCATTGACTGAAACGACAGAGTGTGTTGAAAATTGGGGGTTATAGGAGACAATGAGATGGTATGAAAAGTCCGGTTTAATTCTTGATTGGGTCTAGGAGGAAGGGGTTTGCTGGTCTTCTTAAATTTTCTTCTCCTAGACCCTGACACAGTCGAGTGTCCCGTACTATGGAGTGATCGTCCATTTTGTAGGTCAAACATTTCCGTCAGGGCTGAACCAAATGTTTCTTTTGCCTGTTGCTCCAACGCGTGTTTATACCCTCTGCGAACAACTTGCCCCTGATGTAACACGTACATGAAGTCTTGATCGTTTATCTGGGACATATCATGTGTAATTACAATAGTTGTTTTACCTTTTCGCCAGACTCGAATGGCATCCATCACAGAAAATCGGCTGGTGAAATCCAACGCGCTTGTGGATTCGTCGAGGATCAGAATAGGGGTATCTCTCAATCTTGCACGAGCAATCGCAACTCTTTGGCGTTGGCCGCCACTGAATGCACTCCCGCCAGCGCCCACCATCGTATCCAGGCCATCTGGCAGATTGCGGACCGTTTCGTCGAGGCAGGCGAACCGAAGACAATTGAGAATTTTGTCTTCGGTGATACTATGATAGTCTCTTGAACCAAAAGCGATGTTTGTAAACACTGTCTCGTTAAAGAGAAAGCTCTGTTGCTGTACTAGAGTGATGTTATTCCGGATCCAGTAAATATTCAAGTTTTCAAGCGGGGTGCCGTCAATGAAGATAGCTCCACTTGTGGGTGTATAGAATCGCATGAGGAGATTAGAAAGCGTGCTTTTCCCCGAACCACTTCTCCCGACAACAAACGTCACATCGCCCGCCGGGAAAAAGAACGATGAATCCTTTAATACGTAGCAATCAGGACGAGATGGATAAGAGAAAGTAACCTATGAATGTGACGAGAGATTAGCCTTTACGTTTGACTTGGAAGTTAAACATTTTGATATCAATTGCTCACATTTTTGACGCGTATATCCCCTTCACAAAACGTGGGGGATAGTTTCTGGGCTGTATTATCCGTTTCGTCGCAATAGTTTGTTTTTTTCTTTATGAGTTGTTGTAACGCAGAACTTGAGGCACGCCCTTTTTCAAGCACAATAATGTGAGGCAACACATCTTCAATTGCATGTGTAGATAAGAGGCATGCCCAGAAGGCTGTCACAACGTCTCCGGGATTCAACTGGCCTGCTTCAACGAGAGAGATACCGTACCAGAAACCCTGTACGAACATTCCAAATATCATCAGTCTCACGCAGCCAATTTGGAGTGCTTGGCCGAGCGCCTCGTTTCTATACCAGCGCGTCGCGGCCAAGATGCCTAGGGAATATTGTTGGGCTTCGAAGTTTTGACCATTGAAATACTTAACCGCATCGATGCAGGAGAAGCTGCTGCTGACCAATTTTGATGTGCGTGTCAATTCAGCTTCATAGGCTTGTATGCTCGGTTGAATTTTCCTCGAAATAACAACCACTACTATCGCGCAGATAGGTACGGAGGCCAACGAAACCAGGGTCAGCTTCCAGGAGGTGTAAAGGGCCAAAATCAGCGCAGTGACAAACGTAACTACCCTCTGTAAAACACAACCTAGTGGCTGTGACGTCGCCAATTGAAGATCTCGGATCTGTCTGGCTTGCACATGAGCGGGCTGAATGTGGTGAGGATCAGGACATCTTTACTTACGTTTGGAGACGCGGTAAAAGAGCTAAAACTCCGTCCTGTTTCATTTCAAACCAAGATATGTCCTTCTTGAGCAACTCCACGAAGGATTTCTCTCGCGCGTTTTTTGCTTGGAGCTCTCCAAAAGCCATCCAGAATGTAAAGTGACCGGCTTGTAGCAGCAAAATGATAATTCCGAGACCCAATAAATACACACAATGAGCAGATATGGTATGTATCAATTGATCTGAGGTTAGAGAGCCCTCCCCGAATCCTGAAAAGGCTCCAAATATCTTCCCAAGCAGCACAGCCAACATTGGAACAAGGACACCGGCCCCTATAGTGAACAGAGATCCGAAAATGAGAGAAACAGCATGTTTTCTTGAGGTGAAAAAGAATAATGATGCCCAACTTGCATTTCGTGTAGGCATACTGGTCGACATAGAGTTGGGGGAATTCTCAGCAAGCTCCATGCTTCCCTACGATGTAGTGACAGAGTTCAACGAGAGAACCGAAGGGTACGAAACTGAGAGACACGGGAAAGGAATTACAGACAGCTTCGTTGTTATCTCCCAGACCAAGGGGGTGAAGGAAAAAGAAGACAAGGGCATGGTGGGGGATGGGACCGCATCTCATCCCCCAATTGCCAAATGCGTCCCACCATCTCCCGAAGACGGCATTTGGCAAAGAAATAGTCTGATAAAGTGAATATCATAGCGAATAATGAGGTAAAGGAAGAATAGTTAGCTAGAATGATATGAGGTAATATATCGTGCGTTTTAGTTAATTTGCGGGGATTTCTTAGTATTGTTCTTCTCATCAATGGATCTAAGCCACGAGATTGGGTTTCTGGACAACCACATAATACTAGTAGTAGTCATTAGATATTTTAAAGTATTATACGTTAAGAGCGAGTGTGTTCCATTCCGGAAGTTGGCAGAGAGGCCGCTATATAAAGGGAGATTCACCTGTAATCGTCAAAGAAACCAGCGTCAGAGGGTTTTGTTGATGTTTGCTGGACTTCTGTTGGAGATGTTTTTGGTGAGTTTCAGTCCGCCGCCGGGCGCCAATACCACGTGGCCCACCTATCGACAAAAGCGCTAACCAACCAACCTCAACCTCCATCATCAAGCAAATTTTACACGAATTGACTCTAAAAGTACATAAATAGCTGTACTAATAACTCAGTTAGTTAAATAACTAGTTTACTTCATTCATTTGATCCTTAACTAGTTAGATAGATGATAAATTAAGTAACGTACTTCACCACTTGCTCGGCCACTTTGTACTGTGCCACGCCGCTAATTTAGGGCCTGTTCGGTGACCCCGTTCAGGGCCGTATAAGTCCGTACAATGCCAGCTATATACGGGACTCTGCGCCACTGTAAACCGTTGCAGGGGCTTATCCGTACGGATTTGACCTGGTGTTCGGTGGATTTCATGTACTCCGTACAACAGTGTATATAATATGCCAAGATTGCCAAGATAGCCACAAAACCCATATACTGTACGGAGTAGCTTGACAGCATGATAATAAGTCAACAGTGTATGTATTTAGTGCAAAAATTGGAAAATCTAAAATTGATAAGGTTAGATTGAGTCTGTATACTGTAGAACGACTGGTGAGAAGGTCCCTGATCTGTTCAGATCCCGTTCATCATCATCCTTTCTATCATAACACTGATTAAATAATTAGTCACTCTTTTAAACAAGCTAATCTCAAATTGGTAATAAGCTAACCCAAATAAGTCTTTGATCCTGTGATGTGCAATTATCCTGCGAAGCGTCTGAGAAAAAAAAGTTCCAGTTTGTTAGCAACACGGGAACGATTTGCTCTATACCTTAGGTATGGGTGAGAATACCAAACCAACTCCATCTATTCAGCATCTCTGTACCACCTTGGGACCTAGGAAAATCAATGTTCTTGCGATGGTATCAATTTTTATTTTCATATTCCCATTTCTTAGATATGAAGTATCACCTCAAAGTCAACCCATTTTTTTTTTTGAACACAGGAACAATCTGCTATTTACTTGATTTCAATCAGAAAAAAAGTGATCATTTTCAACAAGATACATCTATATTAAATATTGATTTTTTTAATATAAAAATTATATATTTATATTCTTCTTCTCTTTAGCTACAAGCTAAGGTGGTTCACAAATATCAAATATGTATGATGATTGTGTAATTGAAAGTCAAAGTT